TAACACCAGTAGAAAAAAATCAGGATGAAGTGTTTTACTAGCACTTGTATGTGTGCTAACAGAAAAACTAGTTCAAGCAACTGGCATAATGAAGTATTAATGATTTCTGAAAGCTATTGTTCAATAGCTTGCACAGTACTGGGTTTGACATTTGTGTAAGGATAAAAATGACATTCTTGCATATTGCAGAAGCTTTATACTGGTTAGTGGGATGACACCATTGGATACAACCCAGTAATTACAATGGGCACAGATGTCCTTTGCTAGAAAAGGCACCTAGAGCTATGTTTTCAAATGCATGAGGAGTCTGCAGGCTGTTGGGTTCACAGATATCAGTTTCATTCCTTATGAAAGTGTTCATATTCAGACAGACTTCAGATGTTATGAATCAATGTGGACAGTTTATCAGAGGGCTTCATCCACAGATTAGAGAAATGAATCATAGATCAACCAGTTTTTACAAATAGATTCAGATGCATATGCATTCACACAGTATTACTACAAATGCCCTTTCATGTTACATATGTGAGCTGGCAGGAAAGGCTGGCGAAGTGAGTTGCACTTGTTAAGTCGCACACGAACTGTGATGAGATTGATACAAGTCTGAACCATGCCTTTTGCTAACCACCATATTTACACATTAACTTGAGGATGTTTGGAGCCTAGTTTCATGTTGTTTTCACCAAAATATACTTCTGCCCAGGACATGACCTAGACTTTTAGTTTCTTCGCAACAGGAGTTCTGCTGGAAAATCTAGAATAATCTCTTTACAAACAGTATACTTAGCTAAAGTAGTATTTGACCAGAAGAAATCATAGGCCTCATATCACAACATCTTGTAAAAGGTACATAGGGCAAGATAAGAAACCTGAGCTTCAGGGCCACCATCAGGAGTTCAGAGGCCCTTTGATTCACATATAAAAACAAAGCTCTATAAATCCAGATCCATGCTAACACTTAACCTAACTCTATGCAGAATCTGGATCTGTGCATGACCACAGGTAACCATTTATCAAGTGGTAGTTACCACAACATGCAAGTCATCGCATGGTAAGCCTCTGCTATCCTGCCTAGTGTTGAGATTTATCTTTACCACTTTCCTGCTTTAGTGGATTCCAGTTCTGATCAGAAGCAGAAATGTGGTAAGATTCTTCTCACTGTTTGGCAGAACAATACAGACAGCTCCACTTGGCGAACAGTCAAGCCCACTGATAATGTCAAATTAAATAGAAGTAATGTAACTGCATTAATGCGAAGATGACAGATGTACTTGTACTGTAATTGTGTTTAGTCTGACTGTGAAAAGAGAATATTTAAGTGGCAGCAGAGAGAGAAGAGATGGGAAACAGGGCTGCTCCCGCAGGCACACGACTGGGGGAAGCAAGACCATTCTATCAGCTCTGCTGAAAGGCCAGCTCCATCAAACTCCTCTCCTGAAACTGATTTTCAGCAAGACATTGCAAGAACAACTATGGAATATTAGGAACTGGTGCCTGGGTAGGCTTTTCCCTCCTCTTCTTCACCCTGCTTCCCCGCAGCCCAATTGTGGCATAAGTTTGGATGGTCAGCCTTCAAGCAGAGGCTTCGTTTGTAATGATGATATATAAACTGTTATAGGAGCCTTTGGGGCTGAATGGTAGGGTAAGAATATTTTAAATCATTACATATTATCAAGAGTTTCCTCTTTCTCAATTACTCAAGAGCAATTATTTTTAAAAAGGGCCCAATCCAGGTAACATTAAATTTTCTGATATCTCACTGATTTCTGTAGTAGACAGATTAGCACATGATTCAACCTCTAGTCTTATGCATGTTCAGCCAATCCTATACATGTTTACTAAAAAGCAAATCTCAGAGGTCAATAGCGTTCATTTCTAAATTATTGCTTATAGAAGATTGCAACCTAAAGGGTGCTCAGTTTGGCCTGATCATGTCCTTTGTCTTAATCTTCTTAAAGTAAAGCATTCAATATTAGTGGGCCATAACCACTTACAAAATCAGTACTACCAGTACATAAACCTTTTTAATCATAAATTTCATGGACAGCATTTCTAAGGCTACTTAGGACAGGCAAGCCTATCTCAAAGGGTTGAGAATAAAAGAGGAAAACTCTCATGTACTCCTGAATTCCTTGGAAGACAGCATAAAACAGACAAACAGAATTCAAGGCCTCAGCTTCATCCAGGCATTACTGTGTCTGTTGGTTCAGCAGTTTCAGACCTCACTAAACATATATTACTTTCTATTTGGCCTAACTCCATAGTAACTCCATCGACTTTCCTACTTATTTTTTAATGCATATACCATTTTACAACCCTTGAGTGGTTATCTAGTAAGCTTCCCAAAATACAAGGTGTGACTGCAAATAGCTTTTAGTATTTATTGAACAGACCGGACTATTCACATTCAGATGTTTTAATTGTGAATTTGGTTTTGCCAAAAACAAAAAAACACTGGCTGAACAGGTTTATTGTTGTTTAGTTGCAAAGTTGTACCCAACCCATCATGACCCCATGGACAACATTCCTCCAGGCTCCCCTGTCCTCCACCATCCAACATGATATCCCCCCAGAAATTTTACCTAGATCACGTGTAAAATTCCCCCGTGACTAACGGAGGATCAGGTGTGGTATGGGATTGTGTCCGTCACCACTCTTCCCCTCTCCTCCCATTGGTCCTCCTGCAACAGCCTAGGGGACATAGCAGGAGCACTGCGGGGAGCAGGCTGACAGCAGCTGAAAGCACTGGAAAGAGCACTGGGCAAGGGACCTGGGGTGAAGGTGGAAGGGCAGGGGAGGGCACCTGCACCCTCCTCCATCCCTGGTGGACCACAGCAGAGCAGCAGGGAAGGAGCACAAGCAGCCTGTGCACAGTTCAGCTGTTCATTTGGATTCCCAGCTCCAAGGTCAGAAAACTGCTCCAACCATCCCAAGTGGTGCTGAAAGAACCATGCCACTGTCTTCCACGTGGTCATAAGAGTGACCTTGGAGCAGGGATTTAGGGAGCATTCCTGCAGGATGGGGAAGAGACTGGCACCAGCAAGATGCAATGCATCCACCAGTACCTGAGCCTCCTTTGTCCCTCTGCAAAGGGCAGCAGTTAGATAGCCAAAATCAGTCATCTAGCTGCTTTGCAGGGTGGAAGGAGTGCAGAGGTGACCTTCCACCCTGAGTACAATGCCTGCAATCCTCTGAATGCAGAGTCCTACAGGTAGCCTCACTGGACTGTTCTCTAAAGTCGATTTTTAAATTCTGCAGCTCTTTTTCTTATTCTTGCGCTAATAATATTGCTTCAAAGTAGTCTAGATGTTCTAAAACGGATATACAACTCATCTTAGGGTACACAAGGTCCCCACTATCTTGTCTTCTCAATTTTGGGAAATATGAATCATAAATATGGCAACAAGTTAACCTTTGGCATGTCTTCACTAAACAGAAGAATGTTCCATTAGTCAGGTAGCATTAAAAGCAAAGTGCATTGCCTGTGCTAACAGTCCGAAACCTTTGGTCAGCTAAAAAAACTGCATCAGCACCCTAGTCATCCTAAGTGATTTCTGACTGGAAGTTATCACTCACACAGAGTTATTTCTGTCATGATGTCTTATGCTTTGCACAGGTAAAGAGGGCATTCAATCGAACTAAGCAGGCAGGAAAATTGCTGCCCTTCCCTAATGTACAATATGGCAAAGAAATTAACAATGTGTTTGAAAATTATGTCTATTTCTCCTGGTACACAGATTCACAGACAGATCTTTAGGCCATGTGCAAAATGACTGGGCATATTATCATAAGCACAAAGCATATGTGCATCCTTTTTTCTTAGTAAGCAATTAGATACCTATCCTATATAATACTCTGTGCCACCTAGTCTTTCCAGTAAGAGATTCACATTAGGCGGGGCTCTGCTTCAAATGCAAGCTTCTAAGCTACATATGATTTTTTGCAGGGTTGCAAGGTGAAGACATCTATTCTTGTCTTAGGAACAACATGCTGAGATATGAATCTGAAACATCTACGTCTGAATCCAAGCTCCAACCTATCATGGGGACAGTGACCTCAGACATGGTATTGTCTGCCTCAGACTGTCATCTGATAATCCTCATCCTCTCATATAATGAAACTGCACAATTAACAATGTGATATCTAAGTAAAAAAAAGATCTTCCCATTCAACAGTTAAGACTACAGTGCTGTACATGCACACATCCCAAGAATGCATGTTTATTTGGAACTGTTCCTCTGCAGGACAGGATCTCCAACCTTCCTGGGAAGTAAGTCCCACTGAACTTACTGGAATTCCGGGATACATATGCATAGAATTGGGCTGCATTAAATCTGAACCATGCATGAATTGATCCATGTATGAGTCATGCGAGGCCATTGTGGCTATTATAGGCGGCATATAAATATGTGGATAAATAAACAACCACACACGCTGGACCATGACCACCCCAAGCATGCAGCAAAATTCCTGGTTGTTTTCGCTGCAAGTGCAATAGACTAGTTGCCCTAGTCTACAATTTCCAGAATTCCTGCCACTGACCATACTGTCTGAGCAAGGCTGAGATTTGAAGTCCAACCCACCTGGGTAGGGCCGCAACTGATTAAAAGGGCTACCCTTCTGGAAATGGTTCTGCCTAATCTGCGACCATCCTGCCCCGCAGCCGTTCCAGATGTGTTAGGCCACACCTTCCAGCACGGCCAGCTGCGGAATGCTGGGAGTTGTGGTCCAACTCATCTGGAAGGGGGAGGGAGTGAGGCAGGCAGCTGGGCCGTGACCACTTCTGCTCAGCTGCCCAGCGACTACCCCTTTATAACCTCCGCAACAGCTCTCCCGCATTCCTGCTTCGCCCCGGCTTTTCCGCATCAGGCCGGGGCGGCAAGCGGGAAACCGGCCGCCCGACGCAGGCAGGGGGCGGCTCTAGCTGCCAGGAGCCGAACTGCGCAACTGCCCGGGCTGCCCGCCGCGCATGCGGTTCGTCGGCCGGTCGTCACGAGCCGCGGCTGAACCGAAAGCGGCCGTGCTCTTGGCCCGTGCAGCGCGGGGCTCGGGCGCGGGAGGCGGCGCACGCCATGGGGCACGCAAGCCTCCTGCTGCGCCAGCCCTGCGTGTGGGTGCTGCTGCTGCTGCTGGAGACGGTGGCGCGGGGCTTGGCCGCGGCCAGCGGTGGGATTCCTCAGCTGCCTCTGGTCATCAACACCTGGGCATTTAGGAAAGCTACTGAAACAGGTGCCGTGTCGCTTTCGCCTGTGCTGCTTGCTCGGGTGGGGTCAAGCGTGCATAGAAGTCCGCACCCAAGTCTGGACTCCACCAAAGTTTGGCATTCTCCCCTCTCCTTCATCTTTTTAAACTTGGGGTACCTTTTGGAGCGCCGTCACCTCCAGCGGCGTGGCGAGAGGGTGCCTCTAAGCCCGGATCGAGGCCATTGGGCTTACTCCAGGGTAGAAATGCAAACGGAAACTCTGCCAGACGCACATCTAAAGCCATGCCTTTGACCCTCATGTCATCTTTGTACTCGGGTGTAGTTCTGCGCACATAGAGCCCCACGGTAACATCCGTGGGTGGGCTGGAGCACCGGCCCCACTGAAACATTAGAAGAGTAGAGTGGAGTATCTGAGCCTTCCTAAAGTCAGGAAAGGGAAATAGACTAGCATTAAAGCAGCCGTGACTTCTCCATCGGGTCCTGCTCTTCAACCAAAAAAAAGCGGGAAGTGTTTTCCAAAGCAAGCAGTCTCACAACTTAAAAGGACTGACCCCCCCCCCCCCAAATGAGGTTCCAAAGTGAGTTGAGTTGAGCCTCTTTTTACTTGGGGAAGGCTGTGCCACTTTGCCTGCCTCAGGCCGGTCTTGGTTGACTGGTGCAGCACGGAATGCCCTTGCCATCACATGTCGTCTGTGGAGGCATTCACTCTTTTGGCTGATTAAACTAAAGGCATCCCCTGTATCTAGCTCATTTCTGTTCCTGGGACATTGTGCCCACTTCAGCTGTTTCTTTCCTCATTCAAGAGGAGGGCTGCCCCATTTTTGAGAACCTTTAGTCTGAAGATATAGTGGAGGGAAGGTCATTCTGTACCTATTTAGGTACATCTTTTATGTAAGTCTAAAGATTTGTACAGAAAACAGGCTTTAAGCTCAATATAAGGTGAACTGTGACGGCATCATTCTATACTGGCCAAGCTGCTACTTACCATTCCTTTTCTGTTTAATTTTTTTCCCCTGTAGCTTTTCTCTTTGTTGTTTGGTATAGGAAGTTTTGTATTCCAGTTTCTACTCACATCAGCAAAACCGCATACTACAAATGTGTCTCCCCTGTTGTTGAAGACAACATTTTTCATTGCAGTTGTTTCACTGTAGATGTAGGCTATTGTACTGCATCTAGGTTGCAGTCCTAAACCTAGTTTGAGTAAGCCCACTGAATTCAGTGGAACTTAACTCTGCAGAAAGTTGTATGATTGTCCTGGTGTTAAGAGAGATAACACTAATGTGATCCTTTGTCTACATGCATTTGGCTTAGGGTGTGCTTGAAATCAACCACATATCTTGTTCTGCTTGGCCTTAGAATCCTCTATGGTCATTTTTGTGCACTTGGTTCAGATAACTGTTGTAGGTTCTCATTGGATTGTATGCATTGATTTCACAAAAGCAACCTCAGGAGCACACACACATGATTTGCACCCATTGTGTGGGTTCTTCAGTGTACAAGAGGAAAAATACACTTGTAAGCAAGCTCAAGCTTCTCTCCAGCTGGATACTTCCATGGAAATGAGCAGCCATGAATCTTCATGAAGTCTTCATAAAGTCCATCTTGAGGATTCTGTTAAATCATACGTGATTTTATTTAACTTGTGAAATAACTTACGTAGCAAAATTAAATGGTTTGAAAGCTGTTTTGACAAACATGAATCCACCATAGTAAAGCATTAAAATCTTGTTTTCTGTAGTCTTACTATATTTATACTGTAACATGAGGCATAGCCTATCTCCGTTCTTCCCCTCTTCACATTTTTTCCAAGCCTTGAACAGCAGCTTGACAAAGGTACATAGCCATTGAAACTTCTCCCACCACTGATCTCCATGCCAGAAAGTTATTCCTGCTTTGTTACCGTGTCAGGCTGCCGTTAGAAGAGCAGGGGTAGTAAAAAGAAAAAGGAAAAAAAAATGAGTTGGCATCCCCACACACTGCTTGCTTTTACTTCTAAACATAATTAGCTCATTGGAGACTCAAGC